CGAGCGCGAGGGACCCACCTCGCCGATAGGAAGCCACGACCTCGGCAAGCGATCCGACTCGCCACGGTCAATTTTGGAGTCGCTCGATCGAGGCTTGTGACAAGCGAGCGCGTGGTTCTGATTGACTGCCTGATGAGTCCTTGCGGACACCACGTCTCAAGGTCTCATGCCACGTCTGCACATTTCATTTCTTGTTCACTACGTTTGTCCATTATTGCAATAGTGTTCTTTCTACCGAACCGAAAGAGAGAATCAGAGAGAGAGAGATGTTTTGTTAGAATCAGAGAAGTCACAATATCAGTCACAAAATATCCACACGCAACCGAAGGAGGAGACAGTCGTCCCGCAGCACCTCCAGCCTCCAGGGCGGCAGGCCCGGCGCCACAATGACAAGCCAATGCGAGCAGCTCTTCCAGCCGCGCTGCTGAATCACCGAGGCGCCACTCCTCCAGCTGCCAGTCAGCAGCGCGGCTGGCCGCGTCGCTAATGGGCTGCAGCATGCGAGCCGCGCGATCGTAGAATAGAACGATCATGCGTGCCTTCGCGGGCGTGCGCCCTTCGAGCGCGGCAGGTCATTTAAAAAACAAAAACTTTACCGCCCACGCTTCGCCGAGCGGCGGCGAGAGCACTTTGAGGACAGCTCCACATCCCAGCCTCTCGCATCTCGCACAGGTGAGGCCGCCGCGCAGCACCCACGTCATTCCCCTGCGCCACGTTTCTCCGGAACACCGCTTAGCACTCGCGCGAGCGGACACGGTGCTCGCGGCCCTGCGCTCGTGACAGTCACTGCCCTCACCCACCCTCGCTGCCCACGACGAACAGGCGTCACCAGCCGCCACCATGTCGATCAAGGCCCGCATGGCGGCGTACCAGGCGTCCTTGGCTGAAGACTCCAAGGATGTTCCCACCAGCGCTGAGGTGTTTCTCCCCTTTCCAGCGCGCCCGGACGCCCTCGCCAGTCACAAAGCCGTCATTGCCGCCCAGGTGATTGCGAGCAAGCCGCCCGTCGACGCGCCTCGGACCACCCTGCGTGAGCGGCAGGCGGCGTACGCTGAGAGCACGGCGGCGATCAACGCCGAGCGTGGCGTCGACCCGCCGCCGGGAGGAAAGTCGGCCGCAAAGCAGGGGAGCGAGCCGGCGGCCGTCGAGGAGCCGCTCGAGACGCTGCTCCCGCGCCTCGAGGCGGGCGAGGTCAATGCGGTGGACCTCACTTTCCACGGCGAGCTGACGCGGCTCTCTCAGGCGGCCAAGTCGGAGGCAATCGGCCGGCTGGCGCGGGCGGGCGAGGCCATCGAGACGCTCAAGCTCAACTCGATCGGGCTGGACAACTCGAACGCAGACGCGCTCGCGCACCTGATCCGCGGCAATGCCCGGCTCTGGGCGCTGCAGCTCGAGGGCAACGCCCTCACCGAGCCCGGCATCGTCACGATAGCCGCGGCGATGGACGCGCACCCGAGCCTGACGGAGGTCTCCTTCGCGTCGCAAAAGGCGACCATCTCGACGCCGGCGGTGTCGCGGCTGATCGACGCGATGGAGGCGACGCCGAACCTCATCTCGTGCAACGTCGGCAGCCTGCGCGACGACACGATGCGCCGGCGCCACCAGGCGGCCTGCATGGCCAACACTGACAAGATGCGGCAGCGCCGCAACGCGCAGCGCAAGGCGGAGGGCACCGCCGCCTCGGACGGTGGCGCAACGCGCCGCCGCTCGCTGACGGTGGGAACGACGCAGGCCACGACGGGTGCCCCGACGTCGGCCGCCGCCGCTCCCGCGCGCGGGCGTGCCGTCTCTGAGAGCGTCTCGAAGCGGATGGAGCAGGTCGAGCCTCGCTGAGCCTGGCCGAGCCTGGCCGAGCCTGGCCGAGACTGGCCGAGATTGGCTCGAGGCGGAGGGAGGGGGCCGGCGGGTCTTGGATGCGGAATGCGCGCCCCAGTACTCGCACCCTCAGTGGCGCGCGCATGCTTGCCGCAGGTCGGAGGCTCCATCACGCGCGTGCTGGGCGACGCGACGAGGACAGTCGACTGGCAAGCCGAGGCGGCGCGCATTGGCGCCTCGGAGCCCTTCGAGTACGGCCTCCCGCCAGACACGGTCGACAAGGCCGCCGCCGCCAGCGGCGGCGTCTACACCGCGGCCAACGGCCTGTGGGCGCGCGGCCTCCTCGAGGAGGACCGGGTGCTGTGAGCGGCGTCTCGTGAGCGCTCCACCGCGCTACTGTAGGCGCGCGCGTCGCTCGAGGAGCGGCTCGGCGTCGTGCGGGCGTTCCGCACCAACCGGAGGATCCACACGGTGCTCATGCCCAACCTGGTCCCCTCTGGCACCGACTCGGACACCTTCGCCGCCGCGTGGGCAAGTGTGCTCGAGGGGAACGCCTCCCTCACCAAGCTCAACCTCGAGTCGAATGCCATCCAGACAGACGGCAGCTCTCCCGCCCCTCGCGGTGCGCCCCTCCCCCGCGCCGTCCCTGAGCGCTCCTCTGGACGGGTCGCCTAGGCATCCTCGCCCTCGCGAGGGCGGTGGGCTCGCCGAGCTGCAAGCTGGCCGAGCTGCGCCTCGCCAACCAGCGCAGCACCCACACGCAGGCGGCCGAGGAGGCGATGGCGGAGGCGGTGGCTTCCAACCCGAACCTCCGGACGATGACGCTCAATACGCGCTCGACGCGCGCGCGCGAGCAGATCGAGAAGGCGTTGCAGGCCAACATGGAGACCATGCGCCGACAGCGGGTGGAGGGGGGCGCCGGCGGGGCGGAGGCAGCTGCCGCGGCAGGGAGGGAGGAGGTTGGGGGCGGCCTGATCGCCGTCGAGGAGACGCGGGAGGAGCCGGACGCGCTGCTCGCCGCGCAGCTCAGCCGCGCCAAGCCGACGGCGGTGCGGCGCGCCGCCCACCCGAGGACGCGGAGGAGGGCGGAGAGCGCGCCGGTCGGGACGCCGGAGCAGCAGCAGCCGCCGCCGCCGCCGCCTCCGCGCATGGCCGAGAAGGAGGCGGCCGCGGCACCGCGCGCGTCCGCCGCCGCCGAGGAGGGAAGCAAGGGGGCTGCCGAGGCGGACGGCTCCGAGGAGGTCGAGATCGTCCGGTCGATGACGTGGGCGCCCGCCATGAAGAAGCAACAGAAGCCGGGCTTCAACATCGGCGCGGCTGCGGCCCAGGCAGGGACGCACAGGCTCAACCGGGTCGGAGGGGGGGACGAGTCGCGCTCGTCGCTGCCGTCGCGGACCACCGCCGAGCCGGCGCAGCCCGCAGTGCTCCTCAAGCCGACCGCCTCGGCCTCCCTGGGGGCCGCACGCCCGAGCGACGTCGACAAGCCGAAGAGCGCCATCGACGAGTTCAAAGCCAAGGCGGCGGCGCGAGCGGAAAAGGGCTCTCCGCAGGCGGTGCGCTCGAGCGGCGCGGACAAGCCAAACAGCGCGCTCGAGGAGTTCAAGGCGAAGGCGGCGGCGCGAGCCGCGGGCCTGCGCGACCCGGCTAGCAGCCTCCCGGACCCCACCACCACGCGCGTCGACTCCCCGAGCGCCACGCGCGGCTACGCTCCGTGCGCAAAGGTGGGAGGCGCGCGGCGATCGCCGTCTCGCTCGAGCCCGCGGCTGGCGGCGCGGCAGGCGGCGCTGGATGAGACAAAGGCGTCGGGGCCGAAGGTCTCGACCAAGCTCAGGCAGTGGCCGCCGCCCTAGCGCCCGTGGTTGTGGATGGATTCTCCCGCTGGCCGAGCTGCCTGGTCTCTGTTGCCGTGTGGTGACTGTGGGCCGCTTGCCGTGATGTGTGCGACCTCTCTCGTTGCCGGCTTCGGTGCACCTGCGAGAGTCCGCGAGCAGTTGGTAGCTTCTAGGTGTTCACGTGCTCTCACCCCTTTGTCGGGCGGAGGGTGTGTCACGTTGCTTCGGTGGTGCGTGTGGCGCTTCCCCAGAGAGACCCCATGTGTGCGCGAGTCACATCGTTCGAAGTACAAGAGCGCGCCAATGTGACTAGTGACGACTAAGTGAGTACAGTGTTGACTATCTGTGTATGTGTAATAGAGAGATGTGTACAAAGACACCACACACCAGGCACACACACAGAGGCACACGCACCAGGGCACAGCTGTCAGCTCGCTAGCGCGGCGGCCCGCGCCAGCGCCACAGGGGCGCAGTTTTCTAAAAAGCGTTTTAGAGAGCGGAACAGAGGAATCATGAGAGGAATGAATAAATAAATAAATAAAACGGTCAAACTCTGAGACGAGATGGGATTTAGGGACATGTACATGTGTCCCCGCCCTGCACGATCTTGGTGTGAGGGATCTTCAATCCGTGTCCCCTCACCCCTCGTCACAACCCGACACGGAAGAGCGCCAAGAGTTGGGGCTGCGGCTACGGCTGCGGCTACGAGAGGGGCCGGGGTCGCTGAGAGGAATGAGGAAATTGCGCTCTTATACAATTTGAATAAAGCCGTACATCACTCGCTTGCACGTTGCACCTTGCTTTTTTTGTCCCCAGGCGCAGTTATTGTTATGGTGTTATGGCTCTCTGGGCATAGCAGCCCATAACATGTTATGGGCTGCTATGGGAGGGCCGTCCCGGGTCCACGGTGTTATGGCCCGAAGAGGCCACGCCGGACTGCTCGCCGCTGGAATTTTCGCTTCGCGCGCTGCCGCGCGCGCGCGCGCGAGGTAGGTTCGGCATCGATCGCCAAATATTTTCTCTTTTGCCCTCAAGTTAAATTCAATAACATCAACCTGCCTCCTGAGGCTGAGCGATGGCTTCAGATTGCTCAATCAAGACCACCCGCCCTCCCCCCCCCCCCCCACGCAATTTGCTTCCCGTTTCTAACTCGTACTCGCTCTGCAGCTCTGCACTTGGAGCACTTGGAGTGCAGTTATCAACCTCACATCCAGGGCCGGGGAGCTCAGAAGCGCACCCAGCGGGCCGGATGATCGGGATCGGGTTACGGGCTAGCACGCTTCCCTCCATTTTTAACTTGTATGTCTTTCTATGTCTTTCCCGCAATTTAACTCACGTCCTTTTTCTTTCCTTTTTCCACTCATGTCTCGAGGTTTCTAAAAAGTGGAAGCTGGCTGCTCCCGCTTTTAGTAGTTAAAGCTCCGTGCGCGCCAGTCCCGTGCCAGTGTCGTGCGAGGGGCACTTGGAGTACTTGGAGTGCTATGAGGTGTTATGAGGTGTTATGAGTGCTGTGAGGTGTTATGAGGTGTTATGAGGTGTTATGGTAGGGTGGGCATAACAGCCATAACAGCGATGGAGGTGTTATGAGGTGTTATGAGGTGTTATGGGGTGTTATGAGCAGCCAGCCATAACAGCCATAACACCTGTTATGGCCGCTCCCATAACCTTGATATTGAGTGGGGACAACTTTTTTCGCGCTCCAGCCCTGAGCCCTCTGCCTCTCGGGTCTTCATAGTAGACCGGAGGGCTACGAAGCCTTCACACTCCAAGGGGGGCTGGATCTATATACTTCGCGGTTTTAGCATTTAGTAATCATGTACACTCACCTCTCCGGCACGCAAAGCGACAGCGCGCCGCGTTCGAGGGCGACGTCCAGCCCCTGTGCAGCATCGTCGTCGTTTGATCCGGCCTGGAGGCACAGGCACAGTCTCGCCGCTTCGCTCACGTTCTCCCGCACACACACACCTCTCTGCACTCTGGTCTGGTCTCCCCCGCCCGCAAAACGCGCAAGGGCCCGGGCCGGCAAGCCGCATATGCGCGCAGGACTCGCCGATCCCCGGCTCACGCACACGCTCCTAAGCGCCGGCACTGCGGGAAAAGGGGAGACGCAGCAGCCAGCGGCGTCAAAACGTGAGATTTTACGTACAAAACCTCGATAACGAGCCTGCCTACTTGCTGGCGATGCCCTTGACCAGCGCGCTGTACTCGACTGCCTTGATCGAACCCGAGTCTGTCAGCTTGATGATCCCATACTTGCCCTCGGTTTCGATCAACAGCGCCTTGTTTCCCTTCTCTTCGCCCGTGACCAAGACGACGGGGTCACCCGCCTTGGCTGGAAAAGCCTGCTGATAGTCGAGAACCTTCTGGCTCAGCTCCTCTGGCGCCGGCGCGGCTTGGGGCTGAGCGCGAGCCAGCGTCTGGAAGGGCAGGCCCGATGGGACAACGGCGGCGTTGCCCACAAGTGCCTGCTGCGGACCGCTGCACGCGAGTAGCGCCGCGGCGACGAGAGGTGCAGCCGAGCTCGCTAGCCCGACCTTCATGAGAATGAAGAAACCGATTCGCTGGCTGGCACGACACTAGGCCGCGCCTAGTAGGAGGCCCGCGCTTGCCCCCGTGCCGCCGGGTGCAACCTGTCCTATACGAGAGATGGGATTCCTGTCGTGAGGGTGAACCCCCTGCCCAGCCCCCCTCCGTGTCGCGATGCGCTCCCCGCTCCCGTTCCCCTGTGTCCCTGATCGTCCTACAAGATCCTGCTTGTGCAGGTGGGGACCCTGTCCTTCTCCCACCCCTCGTTTGGCGTGTCCGTTGTATTTATTTATTTATTAGGCCGCGCCTGCCCCCGTGCCGCCGGGTGCAACCCGTCCTATACGAGAGAGGAATCCCTGGGACCCTGTCGTGTGGGTAACCCTGCCCAGCCCCCCTCCGTGTCGCGATGCGCTCCCCGCTCCCGTTCCCCTGTGTCCCTGATCGTCCTTACAAGATCCTGCCGTCGTGCAGGTGGGGACCCTGTCCTTCTCCCACCCCTCGTTTGGCGTGCCCGTTTTATTTATTTATTTATTTACTAGGCACGGGACTGGCGCGCACTGGCACTAAGAGACTATGGAGAGTTCACGTCATGACGGTTAAAACGGCTTTTAACCGTCATGACGTGGTCAATATGTCATGACAGCGGCTGCGAAACGACAGCAGCAACGACGGCAGCAACGACAGCTGGTGACAGCTGGTGACAGCTGGTGACAGCTGGTGACAGCTGGTGACAGCCAGCTGCCAAGGAGGAGTGAAAGGCACCAGGAACAGTGACAGCCATAGTGACAGTGACAGTGAAGCCAGTGAATGCCAACGACAGGCGGTGACAATGTCAGCGCGGGGCCCCGCGAGTGACAGCGACAGCGACAGCGACAGCGACAGCGACAGCGACAGCGACAGCGACAGCGAGGCAGCGCCACAGGCACAGCCGTGAGGCAGCCATAGCCCTCGTGAACGAACTTGAGCTTATTCCAGCCATAGTCATCGTCTACGATCCACATGCAGACTGCCGGTGACAGCATGCACCTTGAGAGGTTCAACCCGAGGTGTGTTGCTCAATGCTCTGCGCGTTTGCTTGTGATCGTGATTTCAAGGTCCCAATCCTCGCGGCTGAGGATTGACACCGTTCGCTCGCGTGAGATTTTTGAGCGGCAGATGAACCAGCGCTGGAGCCCATCACGGCACATGCTGGAGGAAGGAGGGCAAGGGTTTTGCAGATTCTCCGACTCACGCCCGCTGCTGCTGAGCGTGCGTGGCTACTGTTGAGAGGGTTTCTCATGTGGCGTCGGGCGTGCGAGTGAGCGGTCTCGCGCGCATGCATCTATATCTTGAGTGTCCTGTCTCTCTCGCTAGTGGCACCACACACTGTCCTGCGGGGGTGCTCATGACAGCAGCAATGACAGCAGCAATGACAGCAGCAATGACAGCAGCAATGACAGCAGCAATGACAGCACAGCAGCAGCAACGACAGCGATGACAGCAGCAATGACAGCAGGAATGACAGCTGCGCAATTACAGCAGCAGTGACAGTTGGACCGTCGGGGATGGTTACGACAGCAGCAACGACAGCAGCAACGACAGCAGCAACGACAGCTGGTGACAGCTGGTGACAGCTGGTGACAGCTGGTGACAGCTGGTGACAGGTAGGTGTCACTGTCGCTGTCGTTTGCTGTATGACAGCTGGCAGCTGTCATGACAGCGGCTAACCGTCATGACAGCGGCTAACCGTCATGACGTGAACTCTCCATAGTCTCTAAGCCACTAACACTGTGTGGAACGCGCTTGCGGATGCGCGCCCCAAAATGTCCGCCTCAAAAGGCCTCGTTCTCGCCCCTTTCCTGTACGCGTGGGTCTCAGAGGACGAATGCGCACCGGACCTTCGAGGACATCAAAGTCGGCTGCACCCTACGGCCATCCCGCCGGCTCTCGAGTGTCGCAGCGCGACGCGCTTCACCCCTCGACCCTCCGCGCTGCGAGTCGATCTGGAGACGACGCTCGGCCACCGCCAACTCCACCCTGACGCGTCGCACATGCGCCGAGTGTCCCCCCCGAGGGTGTCCTTGTATAGTATGCTTGGTTGCGAGTTAAAAAAAGCCCGTTCCGCACCCGCACCCAGCACCAGTACACATGCCGTTCTGGTGCCCCTCGGCTGGCCAGAGGACGACTCACAATGCAAAATCGGAAAGACGTCACGAGGGGCCGTATAAACGGTACCGCAGCGGCCCGGGACACTAACAGTGAATTGCTGCCACTCGCCCGGCCTCCTCCCCCTCGGGGTCGCCCGGAAAGTGGGCTTGCGCACCGGCGCCCCCCCCAGCACGCCGACCCGAGGTGTACCCTCCGGCCACCTGGGCGGGGAGCGGAGTCCGATTTTGGCCCATTGGCTTCATCATGATGGATACGGAGGTGGCCAGCCCTTGGTTGTGCACCTGCGGCGCGAAGAGGAGGTGATCTCGGCGGACGACGGCCGTGCCAAGAGCGGGTGCAGCGCGGAAGAGGGTGCGCAGCGCGTCGCGGCCGCGCGCTTGGGAGCCGGGGGGATGGCCGGAGGGGGTGGGACGCCTGCATGTCCTCGAAGCTCCCACCCGCATACGCAAGCCGAGCCGCGAACGGCGGGGAGGGAGTTTTGGAGGGTCAGCCAAGGACGCGCATGGCGAGTGACAAATAGAGGCGACTTCGCTCTACACCGGTTTGCCATCGTGCAGGACGCCGAAACGCCACCGCGTGCTTCGAACATCCAGGGGTAGATCTCTCTTGTTCGACCCAAGGGATCCAGATGGAATCCTCGTACCTCGATCTCTCCCCGTTTTGCACCATGTAAGCCCGACTCTTATAAGCTAACAGAAGAGAGAGGAGCAGATAGCAGAGGCAGAGGCAACACCGAAAGTACGCGCAACGTCAGTAGGGCCGCGCCGCGTGCGGGTGCTCCTACTGCGGTCCTGGGGGGTAGTTTGCTGCAACTCCCGAGACGCGGGAGGGGCAGCAGACACCTGCGGCGACGCGCACCCGGGAGGGCTCGGGATCGCCGCCGCTCCGACGGGTGCGCCGCCAGGGAGGTGCGGCGCCACACCTGCGCCGGCCCCTCTGCCACGGCAACCTTGCTCACGGCGGCGGCGGAGGCGGAGGCTCGTCGGGCGGAGGCGGCGGCGGAGGGACGTCGGGCGGCGGCGGCGGCGGCGGCGCGTCGGGCGGCGGCGGCGGCGGCGGCCCGCCTGGCGGCGGCGGCGGCGCGCCTACTCGTGACGCGAGAGGCGTGAGGCGGTTCCGCAGGCGGTGGCGCGGCCTCCGCCTTGCTGTCGCGCGCGCCGCCCATCGGAGGCGCGCCCATCGGCGGCCCGCCCGCGCCAGGGTGGTGCGGGTAGCCGGGCGGCTGGCCAGCCATGCCGGGGTGGTGGGGCGGAGGCATGTGGGGAGGGTATCCTGGAGGTGGGCCGGGCGGCGGCATGCCGGGCGGAGGCCGCGGGCCGTACCCCATCCCCGGGTACCCGGGCGGAGGGCCGGGGGGCGGCATCGGCCCGTGCGGGGGCCTGCCCCACCCTGGCATCGGCGGCCGCTGCGGCGGGCCGGGCGGCGGGCCGGGCGGAGGGCGCGGCCCGTGCGGAGGCATCGGCATCCGCGGCCCAGAGGGGTGGCGCGGCGGGCCGCCCGAGAGGCCGCCTTCTGCCTCGGATCGCATCCACGGCGCCGCCGGCTCGGCCTGCGGCGCGGCGGGGCGCGGACCCCCTCCGCCGTCGAGCTCCGCCATGAAGGACGCGTACTCGGCGTCCATGCCGCCGCCGCCGTTCGGCCCGCCTGGCGGCGGAGGCGGCGGCGGACCTCCGGACGGGAAGGAGCCGCCCGCGCCTACGGGGCGCGTGCCGGACACGTCGCGGATGTGTCCACGAGAGGAGCCCGCCGGAAGGGAGCCGCCCGCGCCGCCCGCGCCGCCCGGCCGGTAGAGCGCGCCCTTGGCCGCCGCGTTGCCCCAGTTTGCGACGGGAACCAGAGCGGCGTCCTCCTCCTTGAGGGTGCCTAGCTCGAGGGGAGGGGGGGGCGGGTCGGGAGGGGCGTGGTGGCGGCGCGCTGCCGCCTCGCGCGCGCCGTTGATGATTGCGAGTTCGCGCATCTGCTTCTCCTTTTGCGCAACCGCGTCCTCCGAGTACGGGTTGAGCACGATCTCGACGAGCGCCTGGCGCGAGGGGAAGGGGCGAGAGGTGCGAGAGGGCTCGCTGGCCGAGACGTCTCGGACCTGTCCCCGCTCGACCGTCTCATCGCCGGCCAGTGTCTAGGCAGTGTCCAGGAAGCGTCTCGGAAGTGTCTCGGAAGTGTCCCGGACCTGCCCCCGCTCGACAGTCTCCTCGTCCGGCCCTTCGATGAGCACGTGCATTGGCTCGTCGTCCTCGGGGCCGATCGGCTTGCCGTCGTGCCTGCCGCACCCCTCCTTGATGGCCCCCTTCCCGCGGATCACGATCTTGCACCCAGACTCGCGCTCCTGACCAAGCAGACGCGGGCGGCGGCGTCGGCGGCGGCGGCGGCGGCGCGGGGCCAGGCGCGTCCTTCGGCCGTGCGCGCCATCCGCTTCTGCGCGTTGCCGCGCGGCCCGATGATGGCGCCGAAGAAGTTGTACCCCGGGTACTTGTCCACCGGCACGATCAGCTTCCGCCAGCACCGCTGCGGCACCTTTGGCTTGAGCGACTCGAGCAGCTCGGCGCGCTCGTTGATCAGCTGCTGCCGCCTCCGCGCCTCGCGCGAGTTGACCTGCGAACGGCGAGGTGTGGCCAGGCGTCGGAGCGAGCCGACGGCCCCCACACCCCCAACCGCGCGGCCCTGAACCTGCGCTCCCGACCGGTCAAAGATGGGCTCGGGCGACGGCGACCGTCCGCCTGGCGGGATGTCGCTCACGCCGCAGTCGGGGAGCCGCAGCAGCAGGTCGATCTGGTCAACCTAGGGAGGAGGGAAGAGGCGGAACCGATTCACGGCCTCGCCGCCGGGAAGGGGGCGAGCGGAGGGCGGCGGCGTCACCTTCTCCTTGAGCTTTGGAAGGCTCGCCTGCTGCTCGCTCGACATGTGCTGCAGCGTCGCGAGCGGAAGCCCGAGCTGCACCGCCAGCTGAATCGGGTCCGTCGCCTCGGCGGGCTTGGCGCCCCACCGGCTGCGCTTCTTCGGCGCCTCCGCCGCCGGAGTATCCGCCGCCGCGGGCGCCTCGCTCTTCCCGGCGCCCCACCGGCTTCGCTTTTGGCGCGGCGCGGGCGCGGGCGCCTCAGCCTCCACTGCCGGCGCGGGCGCCATCGCCGGAGCCTCTGCGGGCGCCTCGGCCGGAGCCTCTGCGGGCGCTGCACCCGTCACGGGCTCCGCCGGCGCCTCCGCAGCCGGCGCCGCCACCACCTCTCCCGCCTCGGGCGCCTCGCCCAGCTCAGACATCGTATGACTCCCAAAAATAACACCAGAGGAGCTGGGAAGAGGATATCCTAGCAAGATCCTGCTCGTGCAGGTGGGGACCCTGTCCTTCTCCCATCCCTCGTTTGGTTTGCTGTTTTCTTTCTTTCTTTAAGAGGACCGCCGCAAGCGGCGTGGCGTGGAGCGGTTGAGCATCCCTCCGGGGGCCCCTCTGCGCCGGGTGGGAGGCGTTGTTGGAGGCTAGGACGCAAGCGTCCGTCGCCCTTTTCAAACTCGGGGCCCACTCCGCTAGCGCTACGCTCCGACCCGAATTTGGAGGGCCTAAAAGTTTAAGGTGAGGGTAGAGACGAGGGAGGGAGCAGGACTTTCTTTGCGGAGATCAGCAGGAGGATGTACGAAGAGATTAGGAGCAGCAGGGACCCGAGGGACCATGTGGAAGACGGCTAGTGCTAGTCCCCCATCGGGAGGACGACCCCGGCTAGTCGCCGACCACACCCACAAAGAACCCTGCACAAAGATCGCACGGGCGGGGACCTGTTCCTTTTTACCCACCTCACTCACAGTGGAGAGGTGTCCGTTTTCATTTATTTATTTAAGGCGAGGGTAGGGCAGGACAGGTACATATGCATCCCACGAAAAGAATTCCGAAGGCGATAAATAACGGGAGGGCCCTCAGCGGAGCTGGGAATAGGACCGCCGCAAGCGGCGTGGCGTGGAGCGGTTTGAGCATCCCCCCCGGGGGCTCCGACCCGAATTTGGAGGGCCTGAAAGTTTAAGGTGTTGCGGACAAGGCGGCGGCACGCGCCAAAGCGAGGCGGACAAGGCGGTGGCGGTGGCCTCGGCGGTAGCAGCGGCGTGGCATCAGCAGAAGCGGACAGTAAGGCGGCGGCGTTAGTTAGGCGGCGGCATGCGCGGAAGCAGACAGAGGCGGACAAGCAAGGCAACCGCGTTGTCGGCGGCACGCGTGGAAGCAGAAGCGGTCAACGCTAAGCGATCACACTTCCTAGGCGATGCTGATAGAGTGAAATGCCATTAGCCCTCCCCACTCTCCTTGCAATACTGAGAAGACGGTGATGGGAGCAGGGAGGCGTCTCGGCGGTCTCAGGCCCAGTGAGGTAGTGCGCCTGACTATCCCGGATCCTGCTGAACAAGCTCCTCTTGTAGCTCGATCGGTCACACCGCCATCACCGTCGGGGAGAGGGGCGACGACACTGCTCTGGCTGGCAGCGTGCACCTCGATCCTGTACCGTGTTTGTTATGACCCCCCCCCCCAATGAACACACCAGTGAGGGAGGGCGAGACGATCGGAGGGGTCCCGTACCATGCGGAATCGACCCTATCAAGTGCTCAACTGCTCAAGAACTCGGTCCTAAAAGTACGGACGTCCACCACTTGTGCCTGCTTGTAGCGCGGCTGTCGTGATCATGCCGCCACAGACAGCACTAGTATGGGCGCCGCAGACAGCGTACCCGCGAGGGCGCCGCCCTCAGCGAGCTTGGTACGTGCGGCGCCGCCAGCGAGCAGTCCGCCTTGGCTCATCGCGTACCTTGGCGAAGGCTGCACAGGTAGCACCGCCGTTGGCCGGCAGCTGAAACAGCTGCTCGAAGGCGAACAGTGGTTGTTAGCAGCAAAAGGGATCAAATGGAGACACCTTACTTGATCTGCCCTCCTGCTCTCGAAGGTATTGGTCTGCGCGTGTGGCCCGGCGACCAGGAGCTGCTCTCGGTGACTCCAGGCGTGACACAAAGCCACACACCACACACACACACACACACACACACGCACGCACGCACACATAGGACGCACACACCTACGTTGGGTCTCCAACCTAGCGGGTGCGGTCCCTTCTCTGCCTGACGCGGGCGAGGGATGGCCTAGCCTTGCGCGTACCGAGCATGAGTGCCCTCCACTCCTAGGGAAAAATCCGTTCCTCACGCCAGACAAGGGCGTGGAGACCGCCTTCCTCGAGCTAATGCGCGATGCGCAGGATTCGGGACATTCTGCAGTTGTGCTCAAGGTGAATGCGGAGCAGATGACGCGGCACAGGAGCGCCTTGCAGTATGCGCGGCCGTCAGCAAGCAAAGTGGGACTGAGCACACACCAGCGCGCCCGCAGGCGCACCCTCCGAGCCTTCAACGCGTCTGTTTTTGCGATCCAGGTGGCGGCTGTTGGATGGCATAAAAACCTCGAACTCGCCCAATTCACACTCAGCCGGGCCCTGCACCCCCTGCCACGTCACAGCGCGCCAATCTGCTCGACATGCTCATCTGCCAGACGGTGGACTGCTTCTGGGGCCAGGAGGCGAGAGGGTACCCCGCCCACCAAGATGGGGGGCGGAGTAGCCTCTGCTTTGAGAGGCGACGCGCCCGTGGAGAGGGCGACAGTACACGCGCCTTCCTGCGTCCAGAATCGTTGATCGCCAATCTCGAGGCGTTGGAGGGCGCCGTGGCGGGGGCCACCCACCGGCTGCGCGCGGCCTGGCCGGGTGCGCAGGTCTTCCTCACCGAGGCACTCATGGGACACTCCATGCTGCCCACGGGCGCGCACAGCCTGCTTCTCTCGGCACGTGCGTGGGAGCGGGTGATGGCCACGCTCACTTTGCAGCGCAATCGGGGCGCGGGGGCGAGGCACGCGCTGTCTCGAGCGACGGAGACGCAGCGTCGGCGGGAGCGCCAGATCGTTTCGTGGGTGCTGAATCAGACCGCGCGTGTGCACAGCGTGCGGCCTACCAGAGAGAGGGTGGCCAACCCGGGCGACCTCTTGAAGGTGCTGCAGGCCGACCAGCGCTACTTGGTGTTCTGGGTGAGCTGACTCTCAGCTTGACGCAGGATGCCGAAATGGGCGAGAAATGTCTTGTTCCGAGACAGCACAGTACGACACTCGACACAGTCACGTTCGTACACGTTGACGTACACGGCTCTTACCACACACAAAACTGCCGTGAAACCATACTCTGACCCTAGAGGCTAGAGACACTAGCTGATGCTCCTTTTTACCCATCTCATAGAGTAGAGGTGTCCCGCCGTTTTTGCCTTATCGTAGATACAGCTCGTGCCCTACACCGCGTGGATCGTGGTACGTGTACCGATCGTATCGCCGACACACGGGCGGGGGGCTCTCAGGGACAGCTCTCACAAACTCTAGAGTTCAGCTGTGAGCTGAGAACAGAGAACCAAAAAAATCACCACGACTATCGCGCATCTCCCGCGGCCGCCACTATGGCCACACCACACACACACACACACACACACACACACAATGGTACACAGCACGCAATAAAATAAACCCAGGCAGTTCGCAAACATGGATCAATGTGTGCCCACACAAAAAATCCGGGCAGCCGACTCGTCGTTGTCGCTGTTTCAGTCTGAATCAGAGCGCGTCCCCGTACTTCTCTTCGACGTACTTGTTGAAGAGCGCCGGCACTCGCGCCAGCCGGTCCAGCTTCTGCTGCTCCGGCCGCGGGGACGAGGCCTCCAGGCCCGCCGCCTCGCCCGCCTGCCGGTCCACTAGCCGGATGGAGCGGGACTGCACGTCGAAGTAGGCCGCCCAAGACGTGCCGCCCGTCTCCTCGCTCAGCCGGTCGAGCACCGGCGGGCAGCGGCTGTTGCCGATGAAGATTGTGTGCACGGCGACGCCGAGGCCGCGCGCCTCCTCGATCTCCCTCCGCATGGTCCGGTCGCCGCCCTGGCCGTCGGTGAGGAAGAGGACGTGCTGGTCGGCGCCTCGCGGGCTCGCCGCGCCGCGCCGCCGGTGGCGAGGGAGGCCCGCCTCGAACTCCTCGAGGATGGTGCGCAGCGGCGCCTCAAAGTTGGTCGTGCCCCCGCTCTGCGCCTCGCCCGAGTGGGCGGCCAGCGCGGCATACTCGCGCGAGAAGAAGCGCCGCCGCTGGTGGGCGCGGCTGTCGGCGGGGAGGAACTTGCGCGCCGAGGAGGAGAACTCGCAGTAGCCCACCTGGTTAGTGGGCGATGGGCAGGGGCCCCCTCGCATCCTAAGCGTGGGCAGGGGTGTTGCCGTGGGCGGGGCGGACCGGCATGCGGTGCTGCTTGGCGAGGTCGACGACGCTCGTGCAGACGAGGCCGGCCCAGCGGTGCCACAACCCCTCCATCGAGCTGGAGGTGTCGCGCACGATCGCGACGCGGCCGGCCGCCCCCGGAGAGTGCCGCCGCGTCCTCCGCGGCAGCCTCGGGCTCGGCGCCTCGCACCAGAGGGCCGCCTCCGCCGGCTCGCTCTCGACCAAATCGGGCACTCCGGGCGGAGGGGCGCGCCTGCGGCAAGGAGCATTGTGTGTCCCGTGAGACACGCGGGCGTTCCCCCCCCCCGCCCTTCTGCGTCTGCGCGCCAGCCGCGCGGCGCTCCGCTTGGGCTGAGGACGGGCGCCGCCGCGCCGCGCTCGAGGTGGCCTCGCAGCCGGCGCAGCAGCGGAGAGAGGTTGCGTACCTTGTCCTCGCCGGCCGCGCCGCCGCGGGAGGCGTTGGCCTGCGCCTGCTCCTCCCCTCCCGGAGCATGCGCTGAGTCGGCCGCCCCCTCCTCGCCTCCCTTTTGGGCGCCTCCGCCTCCGCTCCCGCGGCCGCTCATCCCGTTCTCCTCTCCGTGCCCGGGCCCGCCCTCCCGCTCGTTGCGCTGCTGTGCTCCGCCCTGCCGCCCTCCTCCCTGTCCCTCGCCGCCTTGGCCCTCGCCGCCTTTGCCCTCGCCTCCGGGTGGGCTTGCAGCCGATCCGGCCTCCCTCTGGCTCTGGCTCTGGCTCTCGCTCTGGCTCTCGCTCCCTCCCCCCTCCCCGCTCAAACCTCCCCCCTCCCCGCCCTCCTCGCCATCGCTCGACCCATCCGCCGCCGCCGAGATCCGGTCCTCGCTGCCTCCGCCTCCACCTCCGCCGCTGTCGCTCTGCAGCCCAGCCGCCGATCCTCCGGCGTCGCCGCTGCCGCCCCGCGCCTCCTCCTCCGCCTCCTCGGCGAGGGCGCGGTCGATGACCTCGTCGATCTTCAGGTGGAGCGGCTCCGGCACGCGGAAGGCGGTGAGGTACCGCACCACGCGCAGGTCGGACGGGTCGCAGACGTGCCTGCCCCGCAGCACCGCGCGCGCCTTCATCACGCCCACCGCCTTGACGAGGAAGGTGCGGTCGGTGAGGAGCAGCCCCGGCGCCGCGGCGCCGCCCTCCGCGTTGCCACCCTCGACGAGCAGCACGAGCAGCCGCAGCAGCACTCGCTTGCACGCCGGAGGGAAGACGACCATCGGGACGAGCGCAGACGCGTCCCGCAGCAGCGATGGCCCGCACCGGGCGACATGCGGCTCGTGGTCGACATCGCGCGGCCCGGAGTAGAGGTCGATCACCTCGGCGCACCCTGCCCAGTCAGCGCTCTGCACGAGCCCTTGCGCACGCAGCTGGAGCGTGAAGCGGTCCAGCGTC